ATTGACCTTTCTCCAAAGCGCGCAGCAGCGGATTTGCAGGAGCTCCGGGTGATGGTGAGAGGGTCGGGGCCAAGGTGATCCTGGGAGTGATGGGGCGCCCAAGTCTGGGACGTCTGAGGGCGCTTGAGAGAAAGCTGCATGAACCGGAGAAAGAACCTGGACTTGAGGTGCTGGAGAGCATTGAGGACTTTCCGGGGGCCTGTCTTAGTCCGTGTGAGCCGCTATAACAAAATAGCCTAGAACGGGGGGCTTACGAACAGAAATTTAACTGTTCAGAGTTTTGGAGGCTAGAAGTCCAAGATCAGGATGTTGGCAGATATGATGTCCGGTGAAGGCCTGCTGCCTTGTAGACAGCCACCCCGTCACCACGTCCTCACGTTGTGGAAGGGGTGAACTAGCGTGTTGGAGTCTCTTTTCTAAAGGCACTTCCCCCTTTGGGAGGTGACCAAATCACCCCCCAAAAGCTCCCATCTCCTCATGTCATCATGGAGGTTAGGATCTCGGCACATGAAATTTGCGGGGGGACACGGTCCATAACGGGGCCGATCTTGGACGGTTCCCATTTGCCTTTTAGAAAGGACCGCGGCAGCTGGTGTGGGGGAGAAGTTGGGTCGGGGAGTGCAGGCAGTGACGGTAATGACACCAGGTAATATTTGTTATTAAGTACTCGGATTCTGAGTCAGACCTGGGCCAGGCACTTCACCTGCGTCCTTGCATTGAACCGTCACAACATCCCTGGGGGGCTGGACAGATTACTTTGCCCGGTTCCCCGGTAAGTAGGAGACCTGGTCTGTTTGATCCCAAAACTATCTTGCTGCCACACTGGTTTCTCCCCGAGGCTGGTGCCCGTTTCTGGACGCTACACTTAAGAAAGATGGGGGCCAACTTAGGAGGAATTTCTAAGTTAGGGAACTCCCACCCCAGAACTCCTCCTTCCTCCCTGCCCCACATGGCAGTTTTCTCCCGCTGTTTAATGAATGCATCCCAGACCCTTCGAGCACCAAGAGCAGTTGAGACGGTGCTGAGAGAGGAGTGGGCAAGGTGAAGGCAGAGGCGCGGACGGAGCCTAAGAGCTGGGAGCATGGCAAGAGGTCAGCCGGGAGGACTCCTTCTGGCCAGCCCTCTCTCCTGGCCCCCCCGCCCCTCTGGAGCCAGGCTTCCGTGTGTTCAGCATTTCACAGCTGCCTTTTCTCAAGGCCCCCCAGTGGCTTCAGGGACCGGAGAAGGGAGTGTTGGGGCTCAGCCCATCCCTCATGCGTTTCCCTCCCCTTTTATTTTTTTTTCAACCTTTATTTATTTTTTTTGGGACAGAGAGAGACAGAGCATGAACGGGGGAGGGGCAGAGAGAGAGAGGGAGACACAGAATCGGAAACAGGCTCCAGGCTCTGAGCCATCAGCCCAGAGCCCGACGCGGGGCTCGAACTCACGGACCGCGAGATCGTGACCTGGCTGAAGTCGGACGCTTAACCGACTGCGCCACCCAGGCGCCCCCCCTCCCCTTTTAGAACCATCAGGAGTGACGGCATTCCAAATTGAGAGGTCTCTGCTCATGTCAGCGGGCCAAGTAGGATAGCCCCCACCTGGGATCTGAGACAACCTCGCATCCTTAGACGTGAGGGCCTTCTTTGTTCTTCACTGTTTCTGGGCTCCCAGACGCTAGAGGGCTTCTGTGCACCAGCAGCCCGAGAGGGAGGCAGTACCAGCCAGTTAGTAGATCAGAGCTCCTTGTATATCTTCCTCTGGCTCTTTCCTCCCCCCCCTCGACCCAGCCAGTGCACAAAGACCTGGAGAGGGGAGCTGTAGGGACTGGGGGAGCAGCCCAAACTTCTACTCTGGAAGCAAAAAGAGGGAGATTTCCTGAGCAAAGCACAAATTGCAGAAAAGGATCGGGGATGGGGTAGATACACTTTTTCCCTCTTCCTGCCCCAGGGCTTCAGATGGATCCAGAAACTTCCCTGCTGTGCCCTGTTTGGAACTGTACAACTTCCAAATGGTGGTTCCGTTCCCTGGGGCTTTTCCTTGGCCCTGACGCCTCCCCCTTGCCCCCATCCCCTGCTGACCAAAATCCAAGAGAAAAACTTCTTTCCACTTGGATGCTACCATTGGTAGGAAGTTTTTGCGTCTGTGAAATGAAAACCATAGCGATACCTACCTCATAGGGTTGCAAGTGAAGCGATGAGCCTGATCTCTGTGTTTTGAGTACTTACTATTATAAAGTATCTTATTGGAAGTTGAACTAGAAGTGCTGGAAACGTACAGATGTCAGGGGGGTTGGTATACAAAGAGCACATTTCTACAGATTAAATGTTGACACATCAGTTCCCGTTTCAACCGCCTGTAGGCATCAGCCACCCCCAGGAGCCCTGCCCGCTGTCAGGATCCACGGCTGAAAACTCGGTGTCCCTTGCCCAGACCCAGAGCACAAGTCTTTCTCGAGGGGATGCGAGGTTTCAGGGCTACCCGGCCATTGTTCGGCTGCACCCCTGGGGTTCTGCCTTTATTGACGGAGGGGACTGCTGCTTTCGTGCAGAACTTCCAGTGTTCCTGGGTGGGACGGGACGGCTGAGAGACAAAGCCCTTTGAGAAACATTTTTTAAGAAAAGGAAACACGTTCGGTTCTGGGGCTACAGCGAAGTCATGTTGGGGCGCAGAGGGGTGTCGGTCCGAGAACCAGAGGGGGACCTGCCGGGCCACGTCGGCCCCTGCCTGTGAGCTCACAGGAAAGCAGTGGCCTGTAAATACGCACCTTCGGCAGGACGTAGGAAGGAGTGGGGCGGGTCGGAGGCCCCGGGCTCTGTGGAAACCAGGAGGTGGTGCCCCCCGGCTAACCTGGGGGTCGCGGGGGAGGTGAAACCCACGCCGAGATTGGAGCTAGGTAAACGTTTCTAGAACGTGCTCTCCCTGCCAGCCTGATAAGCGCCCGGCCGAGCACCTGCTGTGTGGTGGGCGCTCTCCCAGGTGCCCGCGTGCTTCCAGCAGCCCCGCCAGGTCCGGAGTCTTCCCCCCAGACACAGAGGGAACCGGGGCTCTCGAGCCGGGAGTCCGCTTTTGAGTCCAGGCCTCATCACAGCCCCCGGCTTTTCCAGCACCCCAGGTGACTCTAGAATTCCCGTTGCCAGGTGGCCGGCAGCCCTCGGACTGGATTTCTCCTCCTCCTTGTAATAGCAGCCGTTTGAGCACCTGCTCTGTTCTGGCCTCGGTGCCAGGTACTGAGCACGCGTCGTCCCTCCTCCCCTTAGAGGCTCTTCCCGGTTCGGTTTCGTTGCCTCCATTTTACAGGTCAACAGACTGAGGCTCTGGGATCGCTAGCCCAAGGTCCCACAGTTATGAAAAGTGCCCGAAACTGATTTCAGCCCGGGTCTCTCGACCCTCGGGTCCATTCTCTTTCTGCTCTCCGTCTGTTACGGGCATGTCACAGGAGTGTCCTGCAATGGTGTCAGAACCGGGCAGTCAGTGTGTGTGACACTTTATTCTTTTGTCGTTCCTGGGGCCTGTGTTGGCGGGGGGCTCTGCCCCCAGGAGCTCAGACACACGAGGCCCGGAGGAGGTGGTGCCCGCAGAGCGGGGGAGGCAGCGAGCGGCTCAGCTTTGCAGGTGGCATGGGAGGAGCTGCCCAGGGATCCCACAGCTCTGGCCCTGTTTTCCAGTGTTCCTTCTGCCTGCGCCACTGACGGGGGGCTCCGTGGGGGGCTGGTTTAATGACTCCCTCCCTTGCCCCGCGGCAGCTCGGCGTGGCTGCAGCAGAGAGCAGTCTGCTTGTGGGTGAGGGAAATCCGCACGGCGGCGTTGGCTGTTCAGTCTGGCGGACAAGCAAGAGCAGGCAGGGACCTTGTCCACCTTCTCTCTCTCTCTCTCTCTCTCTCTCTCTCTCTTTTTTATGTTTATTTTTGAGAGAGCGAGAGGGGGAGGGGCAGAGAGCAGGGGACAGAGGAGCTGAAGCCAGCTCCGTGCTCGAACTCACGAACCGCGAGATCATGACCCGAGCCTCAGTTGGACGCTCAACCCGCCGACTCACCCAGCTGCCCCCTCCCACCCCCCTTTCTTACTTTCCAGAAGATAGAGGGAAGGAAGCCTCCCAGATCTCGTGAGTGAGTGAGAAGCAAGGCAGGACTGGATCTCCCGGACCCGAGTCCTGTTTCTGGTCCCTGCCGCCATCTGGCAGCGTGAGCTTGGGCAAGCCCCTTGACCTATCCGAGCCTCAGCTCCCTCCTCAGTGAAGCAGGAGTAAAATACCCAAAGCCTTACTGTGAGGAACTCGGCGCTGCTTCAGGCAGGGTGCTTTAGCTCATCATAGTAACGTAGAGAAGATACATAGAACGGCAGAGAAGGTCAGGGTGGGGACGGGCCTTTGGGGTCCATTCGTCCCCACTCGGGACAACGGAGGATCTGGGAAACTGAGGCGCCGATGGAGGGCCAGTGGCTGTGGCACTGCGGGGAGTGAGGAGGACCTAGAAGGGGATCCACCTGCCCTGCCTCGTGAGGCTCGGAGCAAAGCACAGGTGGGGCGGGTGGCCCGATGCTGGGAGGCAGGAAGTGCCCAGGGGACAGAGGAAGGAGCCGGGAGGCTCTGCCCCGCGGACCCCCCCTGGCCCGCGGCCCACCGGGCCTTCTGTGCGTTGCTGGCACGATGCTCCCCTCTCCATATGGCAGTCGCTGGAGGTTGGTGGCTGCGCCTGGGAGCCCGGAGACTGCTTCCTCTGCCTGGGGAGGGGGCAGAGAGCAGAGCCGAGTGGGTAATTATAGACAGCCCTCCACCAGGCCGGTCCAAACCAGTTCCCTCTATTCCCGGCGTGGCTCGTGGCGTGGCTCGTGGCTCGGAGCCGAGCCGCCCGATGGGGAGAGCGAAGCAGAGGCAGCTTGGGGGAGGTCGGTGGGGGAGGGACAGTCAGCTGTCGCCTGTGCTGCCGCTGGGCTCTTCAGGAGAGGCCTGCCCAACTAGCTTTTCTGGATGTCCTGCAGGAGGCACGGGAGAAGGCCTGGGCTCTTCCGGCCGAGAGTTTGCCAGGCTCCCGTGAGGGATCTGAGCCCGCCTGACCTCAGCGAGAGGCCCTGGAGTAAACCGCAGGTTTCCCTGCCGGGAGACAGCTTGCTAGAGCGCTGGAGCTGGGGGCTGCTTCGTCCTGGTCACTCTCTCTGCCACAGACCTCCCTGTTGCGTTAGAACAGGGCCCAGACCTTTCTCCTGGCCTCCAGCACGGGGGTCCCCTACCTGCCCGTTCGGCCTCATTTCCTACCGCTCCCTGCACCGCAGCCATCCTGGCCCACTGCTGTTCCTGACCTGGCCGAGCTTGTTCCTGTCCTGGGGCCTTTGCACGTGCTGTGTGACTGCTGTCCGGAACGCTCTTCCCTCTTTCCGTGGGTGGCTCCTTAGTCCCCTTCGAGGACCAAGCTGAAATCTCACGTCCTCCCGGTGGCTTGCCCTGATGTGCCTGACCAGGGAGCCCCCTCCTCCCCCAGGCCCCCTTGTGCTTGCTTACTCCTCACATCGCCTCGCTGACTTCCTGTTTACTGAGGCCAGGTCCTTCTCCTTTGTTTACTGCTGTCATCTGCAGCGTCTGGCACGGAATAAGTGGAATGAATGGCTCGTGTTTGTTCCCCAGGTGAATAAGCAGCTGTGCGAATGGCTCCTCCGTCAGGGCCTGCCAGTGACCCTAGGCAAGTCACTTGCCCCCTCTGAGAGCTCCATTTCCATTTCTGAACGGAGGGGATGGGACTCCAGGGGATCCCCCTGTCATCGCAGGCCCCAAGTTACTGGGAGGAGGCAGGCCTGAGCAGACCTTAATCCCTCTGGCTTTCCCAGTCCGCAGTTAGAATGGTTGACCCAGAGCAGGCCTGGCGTGGAATCACAGAATTTCAGGCCGGCAGCTGACAGGCTTTGTGTTCTGTGTTCACTCTGTTCCGCTGAGCTGAAACAAACCAGCTGGGGCCGACTGTTCATTGTTGATCACCCGGCTCTAGGCCTCTCGGTGGATCGGGCCATTTCTGCTTATCCAGGAGCCCGAGGTTTTTTTCAGAGCACGTCTGAATCTGGATAGAACCTAACTGTTGCCACAAAGAAGGGAAGGATGAGCCAGGGGATCCTCCATGGGATGAGGAGACCTAGGGTTTCGGTCGGTGAACACGTCCATCCCCTTTCAGTAAGAGAATATTCCCAAGAAGGTCCCCCAGAGGATTTTGTAGCTAGGCCTCAAAGGACCCTATGCCCGGGAAGGTTCTTCGCCTCTCCAAGGCCCAGAGTGGGTTCTAAAGAAGTCACTCCAAGCAGGGGCCCCAAGCCCAAGGTGTGTTGGGCCAGCTGGGGTGAGGTTGGCCAGGGAAGACGGTGGAACCGTGCAGAGTGAGTGTGGGAGGGCAGTCCTCGGGGCGCTTCCCGTGGAGCAGCGGAGGGTAGGGGACCGGCATCGGCACAGCCCCGGCAGGCAGAGACTTTTCATCTAAAGAAGAACCTTATCTGCTGTGATTCAGAATCCCGGGCCCTGGATTCCAGCCCTGGCTAGCCTGACCAGGGGTGTCTACCAGCTGACACAGCCTGACTCGGAACAGGTCGCCTAGGTCACCTAAAGCGACGGGTCCAGGTCAGCTTTTTCCCCTCCCGAACGCACCTGATCTTTCTGAATCACCTAGGACCATTGTTTGAAAAGCCCGATTCCAGGCCGCACCCAGCCCCGAGGGCAATCTTCAGGGGAGGGTGGCTAGGAGGCTCTGGTTTGATTACCGTGACCAGCTCCGGTGACCCGAAGGAAAGGACCTTCTGCCTTAGCGGTGCGGAATGAAGGCGTGCCCCCAGATTCCACGGGAGGCCCCCCAACAGCCACAGCTGGGGCCGGCGAGTTTCCAGGGCCAGCGGACGCGGGAGGGGGGCAGCAGGGAAAATGATCTGTGTGGCTTTGTTGCTGGAAAATACCCGTCTTCTCTTCTTCAAGGCAAAATACTGGTTGATGTCAGCGAAGAGAGAATCTGAAATCCATTTGGTAGAACTGAGCGTGTGGGATTTTTTTCTACTGCTGATGTGGGCGGTGGGAGCTTGACCTCGTGGGCTGAGCCTGGTTGCAGTATTGGAGGTGGAAGGACAGAAACGTGGTGGGGACTCAGACGAGGTTCTAATGAAGGGTCCCCCAATACAGGAAGAGCTTCATATGCACCGCCTGCGTGGGAGATCAGGAAGTCAGGGTGAAACTGCCCAAACAGAGCGCTCTTTTTTCCCCCTCAACGTGCTCCTTTGTATGTCTCTGGCCTCTACTCTTTTTTTTGTTTTTATTTATTTTTGAGGGAGAGAGAGAGACAGAGCACTAGGAGGGGAGGGGCAGAGAGAGAGGGAGACACAGAATCTGAAGCAGGCTCCAGCCTCCGAGCTGTCAGCACAGAGCCCGACGCGGGGCTCGAACTCGGTGAACTGTGAGATCATGACCTGAGCTGAAGGCAGAGTCTCAATCTACTGAGCCATCCAGGTGCCCCTCAGGCCCCTACTCTTACACAATAAGTTCTTTGAAGGTGGTTTTGCCATTTTAAATAATTCTGTACTGAACATCCTTACAACTTTTCTGATTTAGTTTCTTGGGATAAATTGGCAGAAATGTAATTCATTGCTGGGCCACAGAACCAAATGTAAATCTTGGCATTTAAAAAGAGAAGTACTTTGTTTGTTTGCATTCTTCCCTGTACGTTTGAATAGATAAAGTACGCAGATGATAAAGAATTCAGACAGTACCAGTGAGGCGTGCGTGGTGATTAAACCTGTCTGCCACGCCTGCCCCCCCCCCAGGGTTCCCGTAGACCCCACCTTCGAGAAGAATGCTGTGGCTACTTTTTTGCATACATCTGCTCAGTCCTGCAGTAGTAATGACACACGTGCAGGGTCAAGAGGTCTACACTGAACAACCGCAGCGTGCGAGCCATGGGATTAAGGCACTGGGAAATGGCCAAGGCATCCAGAGCTAGGCTCCTCCCCCAGAATGCTTTGCAGTCTCTTGGCAGAGGTGGGGTGGGGGTAAGGATTTGCAGAGACTCGGAACCCGTGGTCACCGAGTGGAAGTGGAAGAGACTGTCAGAGGCAGGGCTCACGGGGACGTTGGAAGGCCCCCCTCCCCGAGTGAGGGTGGCCCACGCCTCCCCCGGGAGGGCCCCGGCAGCGAGCGTGTCTCTGTTCCAGGGAGTGGAGGCCACGGACGCGGTCTCCCCTGAGCCCCCAGAGGAGGCCTGGGCTGCAGCGGGCTTCCCGGGGAAGTGATGGGGGCGGGGCCGCGTCTGCACTGGCCCCGGGGGCGGGATGCTTGCTTGCTCTTCAACACCAGACAGGTTTGTCTCATTTTGCCCCTTCTTTCCCCAGAGGCTCATCCAAAATAGAGGAAGCCTGTGAGATCTACACCCGAGCAGCAAACATGTTCAAAATGGCCAAAAACTGGAGCGGTATGTGATCTTTGCTACAACTCCTTCGTGGTCGAGTCTCCGGTTTTCCCTCCACTTCCAGTCCCGAAGGCCTGACCCAGGGGTTAGCCTTGCAGCGCCACCCCCCTGCCCCAACCCCGCCACCTTTCTTCGCCATCTTTGGCCTCAGAAGCCCATCGGCCTGCCATTGGCTCCTTTTGAGCCCACTGGGTTATTTTACTTGGGTCACAAGACCTTGGAGAGAGGTCTCTAAGGCTAAGGATAGATAGATTAGCAGATCCAGATTGCCCTTTGAGGGGTTTCTGAATTCTAGGCTCGGGGGTCCATTCCAGTGGTTCAGTTAACAGTAATCGTTAACCGTTTGTGGAGCGCGCTCCTAAGCGCCAGGCGTGCATTCTGTGATCGAATGAATCGGCACAGCAGCCCTGTGAGGGTCAGTACCGTCTGTGTTCCCGTGGCTGGAAACGGAGGCTTCGCCCAGCCCCACGCCTAACAAGTGACGGAGTGAGAATTTGGAAGGCAGAGCTCCGACTCGGGAGTGGAGCACTTAACCTGCCCCCGTGCTGGCTCTGTGACCTTTGAAGCCAGTGTGACCTAGGTCTGGGTCGCAGACTGGCCGTGTGCCCCTGGGGAAGTTACTCGACGTCTCCGAATGTGATTCCTCCTCAGTAGAACCACAGGGACGATGGCCCCGACCCCCACGGGGCCGTCGTGTGGACTCCCGGAGACATGGTGGCCGGGAGTGCCGCGTGTGTCCTTCCTGCTAGCTGCACTGCCTCCCACCTCGGAGTGGAGGGAAAGCTCACAGAGGACTCTGGGCAGCAGATTAGCAAACTTCAGGAGCAGCGAGGAGGTGCCCCCCACGGCCCTCTCTGTGTTCTCGCTCTGACTAGGGGAGGACGCAGGTTGACGATGTCAGGTCGCTTAATGCTGGAGGAGGGCATCCGCCCGAAGAGAGCGTCCCAGGTCGTGCGCCTCCGCTTGGTGGGTGGAGTGTGATCGGAGTCGTGGCCGCTCTGGCTTTGACCATGAGGTTGTGGTCAGACTCCCGGCGAGGCTGGAGCGTGGCTGGCTCCCCCAAAGAGAGGCTGGCAGGCAGGGAGGGGCCCCTAGAGGCCAGAAAGGCGGAAAGTCTGGTTGGGAGCTGCCAGAGGGCTCCAGCTTGGAGCGTCAGCAAGACGGGGTAGAGGAAATTGAGTGAAGACAGGTTCAGGTTTGGGACCCAGGGAGGAACTTGCTGACCAGAAGGAGACGAAACCTGAAACGGGCCCCTGGAAGCAGTGGGGAGGGCCCTGGGCAGGACGGATCTCCTCGCTTTCTGAGGATGCTTTTGGTTTCCTGGAAATGGCAAGAGTTCTTCCTGAACTATCACAAAATACGTTGTGCGTAAAGCCACGTGCCAGGGATAATTTTACGCTCCTGAACTGATCGGGTGCCATCAGAGAAAGAAATGTTTGTTTGTCTTAGAGTTTGTTTATTTTGAGAAAGAGAGAAAGCCGGAATCAGGGAGGGGCAGGGAGGGAGAGGGAGAGGGAGAGAGAGAATCCCAAGCAGGTTCCGCACTGCCAGCACAGAGCCTGACCCGGGGCTCGATCCCACGAACCTGTGAGATCGTGACCTGAGCCGAAGTTGGACATTGAACCGACTGAGCCACCCAGGCACCCCAGGATATTTATTTTTCCGTCACATAGATGGTACTTTGCCCCTCAAATTTGTTACTCCCGCCCTATTCCTCCAGCTGTTCAAATAAAAAAGCCTTGGGCTGTTTTTCATTTTTCTCCAATGACGCTACTCTCCTGGACAGTTTGCACTCAAGCCCTGCAAAATGATAAATCCTGCCTACTGAGAACCTGGGCTGCTTTGTCTTTCCTGCTGCTCTGAAGTTGCGGGATGGAGTCAGGCCCTCTGGTCCCCTTCCGGCTCAGGAATTCTGTGATTCGGATCCTGCTGGAGGAGGATGAAGGGAAGCATGGGGTCAGGCGGAGGCTGGCTGAGCTGAAGGTGGGGGTTGGAGCTCCCTGGTTAGCATAGCCGCACCCCCACTCTCCAGCCCTGGAGGAGGAGAGATCCCGTGGTCTCCTGCACGCCACAAGGCGGTTTAGGAGACAGACGTGTAACCAGAATGGCTTCCAACTGGTGCAACTAAGGACGGGACAGACTGGGCTTCCCGTGTGGTCACTGCTACCCTCTGCCCATGGGCACTTGTCCCTGAGTTCCTGCTGTCCCATGGGGCCACTGCTGGGCTTAGTTGGCGATAGTTTGTATATCCTTCATAGCTCTCGGCCCTGCCTGCCTTCTCTGTGGTTTTTTAGAAATGGTGGCCCTGGAAATTTCGGCAAAGGCTGGGACCAGGGCTGTGGGATTTTAGCTGGCCTCGGCCTGGCCGTCTCTTCGCACGCCCAGGGCTCAGGGGCCTCCCTCTTCCTACAAGTCCACCTCACGGACTTTCCGGAGCCTCGGCCCCGGGGTCAGGAGGCCCGAAGTCGAGGCCTCCACCTCAGCTCAACCCAGGCCTGTCTCCCCCACCCCCCCCCACCGGGGCCCCTCTGCATTCTCAAGAGAGCCGCCTCCCCAGGGCGGTGTCTGAGCGGCGTCTGATAAGTGGAGCCCCGCTAAGGCTGAGCTCACTCTTTTCTGTTCCAGCTGCCGGAAACGCTTTCTGCCAGGCCGCCCAGCTGCACCTGCAGCTCCAGAGCAAACACGACGCGGCCACCTGCTTCGTGGACGCCGGCAACGCGTTCAAGAAAGCTGACCCCCAAGGTGAGCCTCTGTGCGACGCTGGGCCCGGCCGCCCGCGCACCAGCCGAGCGCTCCCCGGAGAAGCCCTCCGGTGTCCGCGAGGCTCCGGTTTTTTCCAGGGGCCAACACACGCCGGAGGCTGGCAGGAGGCTGGCAGGAGGCTGGCAGGCAGACGCTTGGGCTTGAACCTCAGAATTGGCTCCCTTCCGGTTGGCATTTGCATCCCGCTCCAAGCCTCCGCCTCCCCCTGCTGCTCGGTGTGCGCAGCCGATCGCTTCCCTCCCGAAGCCGGGAGCATTTGGGAGTGGGAGTTACATTGCAGACCCGCCGCATGCCAAGGAGAGAGGAAAATCTGTTCTGTTGTCAGAATTAACATGCAGAAGGGGGTGGGAGGGGTTCTAAGACCGGCCAGGTAGGAGTTGATGCCGAAAAAGGAGCGGAAATTATCCCGACCTGGCTTCCCAACATGCCCCCGGGCCCCCCCCCCATCAGAACGGAGCCCGAGATGCGGTTGCCAGAGAACAAGTTACTTAAAATGCGGGAGTGTTTGGGGATAGGAGCCCAGTTTGGGACTGACTCATGGTGAGAAGACCGTTTGTCCCACAGCCCAGCGGGGACCAGGCTCTGGGGTTTTGTGGAGCTGGAATTTTAGTTCATTTTTTTCATCCTGGTGCCAGACACAGGTGGCTAACTTTTTCGTTTTAGCAAGCGTGAAGACGTTTTCTTCAAGTGATCCCTCGTTGTCGCTGTGCTCTCAGAAGAGAATAGGGAACATGTGAATGTTTCAAGGAAAAGGAGATGCCGCACCTTGGAGTAAAGACCTGTCCTTCCCAAGAGAGTCAGAGAGGTGTTTGCACGGATCGGTGAGCGCGGGCCACACCCGAGCGCTGGGGAATTGTTGGCGGATCCGTTACCCGTACCCGGGGATATTTAGTTCCCAGTCAGGGATTTGATCAGTGTAGACCAAGTGGCTTTTCTGTGTCCCCAGGCTTGACCGGTCAGTGCTCCATAGCTGGGTGTGTCACAGGTGTTGGCCTGAGGGGTCATGTGGTGGGCTGAGGCCTGGCTAGAACCAGAGCAGAGGCCTTGTGATGGGGTGGGCCACCACAGGCTGCATGGACAGTGTGACGACGACCCAGGGACGTCTGTGTCCGTTCCCCGCCCGCATCCCCCCGGAACTCCCCACCTCAGCCTTCCCTCTGCCCCCGGGGAAACCGGTCTACCTGGAGAAGCTGCCTTAGCTTCTGGGCCTTCACCTGCTGCCCCTGGGTGACTGGAAGGACTCGTTTCTTGGGCAGGAGTTGAGCGCCAGGCTCTGTGACACGTGCACAGTGCTATTTGCTCTTTAAACAAACCTCGGCCCTTCCCTTGGACGGGCCCCCACCCGACGCCGCGTCCTTCGTCACCTGGCTTTCGATCTGAGCTTTTTCAGCTGAGGCTCAGCATGGCAGGGGGCGCGTTGGGTGCTAGGTTCTGGGCCGGGGGCTGTGGCCCCCTGCCCGGCCTCAGTAAGTGCAGAGGGTGGCCGAGGCGTCCCTGCCCCAGTGGGAAAGCAGCCGACATGGCCGTCGTGGAGCCCAGAGGCCACTTTGGTTTCTCCAGGGATCAGCAGACATGGTTTGCGGCCCTGGGAGCTGAGGCGGGGAGGGGGTGGATTTGGGGTGGGAAGGACCTTTCAGGGAATGAGAGGGGCAGTGGTGAGGAGGGGACCCTGATTTGGGCAGAGCCAGGACTGAGTTCCTCGGCTGGAGTGCCAGGTTCTTGGTGCTAATCAGGGAGGGGCGTTGGGGCCGAGTCCCGGCACCGCTGCCTCGCTGTCGTCCGCCCCCGCAGTGGCTCACAGAGCGCGTGGCTGAGTGTGGTCTCCCTCGTGTGAACGGAGCCTGTGCCCCTGTAGCCTTGGGCAGTCACTTAATCCTCTGGGCGTCTGTTTCCTGGTCTGGTGAAGCAGAGACCGAGTGTGAAAGAACGCGCGGACCTGCCCAGTGCGGCACCTGGTGTGTGATAAGTATCTAGGGAGGGGTGGCCCTTGGCTCCCATCAGACAGAGGCCCGGCCTCCCCCAGCCTCCTCCTCTTGGCACTGTGCCTTGTGAAACAGAGCTGGAGGGCCCACTTGGAACCCTGCCAGGTGTCCCCGAGCAGGTGGCCAGCTCCCTGGGGCCTTGCTGGCCACCGCGCCTGCCTCGAAGGCCTGTGTCCTGTGTCATCACCTCCTACGGGAGTCCCGGAGGGCCCTCCCCCGGAGAGGCGGCTGGGGCCGCTCAGGAGGCCTGCCAGAGCCAGCCAGGGTGGAAGGAAAGGATTCGGTGCCTGTCACCGCGCCCTCTCCCTCTGCGAGTCTGCCCAGAGTGCGGGCCGGGGGCAGCCTGCCCACCCCCTTGGTGGCTGGGGGTGCGGGGAAGTGATGCCCATAGCTGTCAGCGGCTCCCCGATTTCCTATAGCCACCTGACAGCCAGGCCCGGGGGTGCCTACTGCGTGGTTAGACGTGGTAGCGTCTCTTTTTAACCCATTCCACTTCCCCGTGGGATTCTGCGGTCTGCCCCCGTTTCACTGGGACGGGCTGAGTCCCAGGCCTGATACGGGCAAGTGCAGCCGGACGGCGGGGCCACTGGAGCACAGGAGGTGGGCCCGGGGCCCTGGGCCGCATGACTCACAGTATGCCTCAGCCAGGCCTTCCCCTCTGGGCCACGGCACCCGCCACCCCCGTCCCGGGCTGGCTCCCGTCCAGGGGTGCACCGGCCGCTCATCAGTGGGGTCCTGGTGACTGGAGATAAGCTGGTTGTATCTAGTTTGTCGGTGTCCTGCCTGCCGGCGCTCTCCCCGGGGCGTCGGCCGGCAGCCCGCTGCTTTCAGGGACAGCTGTTCCTGAGCCGGGAGCAGGCGTGAAGGGGACTTAACCCCATGAGTCTGTGTTGCCGCCGGGGGGCGGGGGGGGGGGTGAGCCTTCTGCCCCCGCTGCCACTGCAGGGACTGAGCCTTGGCGACAGCACTCGGGCCTGGTGCCAGCAGGCCCGTGGGGACAGCTGGGGGCCTCCGGTCCCCCTCCTGGGCTGCTCGTCTCTCACCGGGAGCAACCTTTGCCCCCTGGGCCAGGTGCCAGGCTGGGCTCCCTGGTGTTCCAGAAGGGGGAGCCACCGGCACCCCCTGGGGTGGAGGATGAAGCAGGGGTGGGAGGTGCGGAGCCGGCTCCTTGTCGTCCTTATTTTCATCATTGTGTCGCGGCCCGGTGCTGGCTCGTCAGATCCAGAAACGCTCTGTTTCGAAATATGCACCTGTGTTAAAGTGAGACTATTTCCGGCTGTATTTTTTCTCCCTTTCCCTCTGTGTTCTCTCCCTTTTCTCTTCTTCTGCTTCCTTTTTGCTTCCTTTTCTTCTTCTCTCGCGCCTTGAGCTTTCAGCTGCTTCCCATCCTTGACCAGAATGGTTCTCTGAATCCTTCCGGCGCCCCCAGAGGCCTTTCAGAATTGGATCAAACCTGCTGACACCCCTTCCCCCAGAGTAGGGCTGACACACGCCCGCTTTTTGCCTGTAAACTTAGGGGGCGGGGAGCTTGTGGACTCCCTGAAGGCCCAGCCCCAGTCTGAGGCTAAGAGCCTCTGCTCACCTGTCTCCCTGGGTCATGAGACCTTTGGGGCCCTGAGAGCAGGCCAGGCTTGGCTCCTCTGTGGCTCCTCTGTGGCCCCTCAGCCCAGCGGGCCCGGCTCACCGTGGGGGACCTTGGGGGTGGACCAGGAGCCTTGTGGGTGTGCTGGATGGCAGGGGGACCTTCCAGGCCCACCCCCAGCACGGGGCCCACATCCTGTGTCTGTCCGGGTTCTCTTCCTTCCCCCCGCACCTCCCCCAGCACCCTTTCTTCTGAGATGCATTAAAAGAGATCCAGCCCGAGAGCTCATCTCTGTCTGCTAGAAAGTGCCTCCCACTCATGCCGCTCTCTCTCCTCCAAATAACGTGTCAAAAGAGGAAAAAAAAAAAAAAAAAAGCAATAGCCGAATTTAAGGTCTTGGAACAGGTGGTGCAACAAAGGTAGCCGAATTCTGTCTGTCACGGGCCACCCTGGTGTTTGCTTCGCTGGGGACACCTGTGGTGTGGGGAGCTGGCACGCGGCGGGTGACGGTGGGCGGGGAGAACAGAGGGCTGTGCTGAATGCTGAGAAAATGATGGGGATTCCAGCCAGAGGGGCCTCGGGGTCCCGGTGTCCAGCCCCCTCCTGCCAGAGATGGGGGCCCGGCAGGTGCAGGGGACGGTGGCAGACTCGGGGTCCCGCAGCGACGGGGTACCAGAGTCCGGGTGGAACCTGGGCGTCCCTCGGGTGTCGGGCTTGGCCGTCCCTGGCCAGGACCCCTTGTCCTGGAGGGCAGGGCCTCGGCGGGCCTGGCTCAAAACACCCACGGGAGTCTGGCTGTCAGCCTGACCGTGTCCGGTCCCTGGGGCTGCTGGGAAGGTGGTGGCAGTGTGGCAGCCTGAGGGAGAGGGCAGCCCTCAGCAGGTAGCAGTCCGCGGCACGGTACGTTAGTCTAAGAGCGTTACTTGGGGCTCAGGTGTCCCTTCACCTCCCCTCCCGCCACGGCCATGGCCACGAGGGCACAGCGGAACACCTGCCCTGCTTTCTCCTCTTCCTCCCCCTCCTTCTGGCTTCTGCTGAAATAACTTCTCTTTCTCATTTCTCCCTGCTTCCCTTTTTCTCTCCACAGAGGCCATTAACTGTTTGATGAGAGCAATCGAGATCTACACGGACATGGTAAGGGCCACTGCCTGTCTCGTCCCTCCGGCTCTACCACCTTGCTCCAGCCTGCCCTCCCTGGCGCCAGCTTTAGGAGCAGGTGGGGGGGGGGGGTGGTCACCTGCGCCGGACTGGCTCCCCACAGCTCCCGCCACAGCACAGGGGAAGTTACGTTTGTAGAAGTTACAGCTATCGGGGGCCTTTCCCCTTGCTGGTCCTTCCCCTCCTGCACCCCATTTGATTAGCAGGCCAGAGGGGAGGTGGGGCCCAGAGCTGGCTCAGCCCCCGCCCTGTCCCCGGGGAGCATCCCCACGACAGATGAGTCCCAGAGGCAGCTCCACCAGGGAGCCAGGACCAGAGACCAAAACTGGGCTCCGGCTCCCACCCGCTCTGCGTTTTGCCGCTCCACGCTCTGCCTCTGTCTCGCCAGACCCCTTCCCAGGCCGGAACTGGGTCCTACCTCCTGTCAGGTCCAGTACCATACTGGAGTGTTGTAGTTAGAGCGGCGACAGCGGCTGCCAGATCCCCTCCACTGAGTGGGTCAATCCTCCCCGGCAACAGCCCTGTGAGGTGGAAAGTGTTACCCCATTTGACGGGGATGGGGGGCCCAGACAAGCAGCGTGACTTGCCCAGGGACACGTGCCTGCGAACAGCAGTTGCTGAGACCCAAAACTAGGCCTCGCCAAGCCCGGGGCTTTGCCCTTTCCCGATGTCCCTGGGCACGCGGGTGTCCGTAGACCAGCCCTGTGTGCCAAACGGCCGGCCGGGAGCCCAGTTCTGCGGGCCCCTCTGCCCCCTACCCCAGGTGGAAGCTGGTAGCCTGTGCTTAGCTCCTCTGGAAGCTAGGGCCGTCCCTGGGGAGAGCCGTGCATGTCTGCGGGGGAAGCTGGGGGTTGTTGGCCTGTGAGGGGGCCGTCTCCACGGCCACACGGGGGGAATGGAGGCCAAGAAATTCCTGTGCAGTGTGGATGCTCGGACCCGCTTTCTCCAGGGCTTTCACTGGGTGACTGTGGGCTGGTCGTTCCCCTAATCTGGGCCCCCTGTCCAGCGCTTCCTCAGGCCGGGGCCTCTGCCAGGTACCTGTGCACCACATTATCTCTGGCACTGCCCCGTCCACCTGTGCCCCTGTGGACGGGATGGACACGGAGGCTGCGTGTGGGGGGCTTGCCCAGGGTCACCGCATCGGGCCGGCGCAGAGACCAGGCCTCTCCCTGGAGCCTCCTGTTTAGGGCCCCTCGGTGCCTTCTCATGCACACCTCACCGGTGTCTGAGGGGCAGGAAATCCCCGGCTCCGGGGGCCTGGAGGGGCGAGGAAGGGCTGGGCTGGGGTGCTGGGGACGTCCCTCGTCACAGATGGCCCCTGCCCACATCCCACCCAGGGCCGATTCACGATCGCGGCCAAGCACCACATCTCCATCGCTGAGATCTACGAGACGGAACTGGTGGACATCGAGAAGGTGAGGGGGAGTCGGGAGGCCCTGCCTGGCTGCCGGGGGAGCGCTGCGGTGGCTGGGGCCCCTTGGGCCGGGGCTCACGTCCACTGGGGGAGGCGTCTGGTGCCCGGGTGCCCGGAAGGGGGCATGGGGCGTTGGCCGAGCACGGGTCAGGGGCTCCTGCTGTGCCCCAGGCAGGGCCGGGCCCCTGGCGGACAAAGGTTGCATCGCTTCCCCGTGTCTCCTCAGGCCATCGCCCACTACGAGCAGTCTGCAGACTACTACAAAGGGGAGGAGTCCAACAGGTACCGGGCAGCGGGCTCCCCCCGCCCTCCCCAGCCCCCTGGAAGCTCCCCCCCCCAACACTGCCACCGCCACCGACTTCTGCCTCTGTCCCCACCCCACACAGCTCAGCCAACAAGTGCCTGCTGAAGGTGGCTGGTTATGCGGCTCAGCTGGAGCAGTATCAGAAGGCCATTGACATCTATGAGCAGGTGGGGACAGGTGTGGCCCATCGTCCCTGCATGGTGCTCCCTCTGTTACCTCCCCGGCGCTCATCCTGTCCTCCCTGGCAAAACCTCTCCACCCACCACTCCCCGTGGTGTCGCCGCCCTCTCCTCTGTGCCCTCTCCCTTGTGCGCGTCTCACGGAGAGCTTCCTGGGAGGCCCAGGGAACGGGAAGAATCGCAGAGGCCTGGGGTGGCCGGAGGTGGCCGAGCAGCCCCCAGGAGGCATGGTTGGGGGGACGGGAAGGGAGCGACCCACGGGTGTGCAGGCTCCCCTGGGCTGGGCGGGGCGGGCGGGGCAGGCGAGGCTGTCCCGGTAGGTTGAGCGCGGCCAAGAGAAAGGCAGGCAGCTGGCCTTGGAGGAGAGGGGGGCGGGCGCCGGCTCTCAAGTTCCCGCCTCCTGCCGCCCTCTGCCCACCAGTGTGTCTGCCTCCCTCGGGCCTGACGGTGGGGCCGCTGCCTCCCTGTCATCTTGGCTGCCTTGGCGGGGCGGGGCACGGACACCTGGCTTCAGCCCTGTGGCAGCCCACCCCCCTGTCACACACTGCTCTGTGGCCGCCCGCACACCGTTGGCTGACTTCTCTGGGCTGGTCCTCGGCCTCCCTGCCCTCGGTGTCTCGGGTTAACCGGGCTTCAGCCTGGACACAGACGCACTGACCCCGGTACCCCCCCCCCCTGGCTGCCAGCCCCGAGCTTATGGTGCCACCTGCACATGCGCACAGGTGGGAACCAATGCCATGGACAGCCCCCTTCTCAAGTACAGCGCCAAGGACTACTTCTTCAAGGCGGCCCTCTGTCACTTCTGCATCGACATGCTCAATGCCAAGGTGAGCGCTGCCCCGTGGGCCCACCCAGGGCCTCCCCCTCCTCCCAGTGGCCACCCTGGAGTCCTGGGTCTGTCATTAGGCCAAGGCCCCTCTTGGCAAGGGGTGAGCCCCTCCCTCACGTCTGGTGCCTGCAGTCAGCTGTGGGCAGGACACACTCCTTCTCACTGGCGTGTTTCTGTTCCTGTTGTCACGCGCCCGGTCTCCGTAGCTTTTGAGTTTGCCCGGCTCCTGGCTCACTTGGTGCCAGGCTTTTTCTTCCGTGAGAGCATGTTTTGGGTCCTTACCGCGTCCCTTGAGGTCGGCACCACTGTTACCCCGTTCTACAGCTGAGGATGCTGAGGCCAGAGCCCCTTATTCAAGGCCACAGGGCTGGATTCCAGATGTTTGACTCCCAGAGTCATGATTTATACTGTAGCACGCGTGCCCACACCACCCATTTTCAGGGCTTCTCGGCAAGAGCGGAGCCAGTGCTGCCTGAGGGGGCAGGGAATGGCCTAGCCGGAGGAGGAGCTGGAGTCCTCGGGGTCCGGGTTCGGCATTTCCTGGGGTCTCCGGCCACCCCGCCCTCAGCCTCGGGGTGTGTCTGAGCACGGCCACCAGCCCCCGCTCCTGCTGTGGGCGAGAGCTCAGGCTTTGCTGTCGGGCTGGTCCACGTTCCCGCCCCCACGTCCCCTGTGCCCCAAGCAGGTCATTGCGTTTCCCCGCTTTCAAAACGGGGGTCCCCATCACGTGGCCCTCCCTGGGGCCTCATGGTGGTTAACTGAGAAGTGCCCAGCACCAGCCCTGGCACGTAGGAGGTACTCCTGCGAGGCAGTTGGTGTTTGCCCCCTGCCCTGGGCACCGGCCTGGGAAACCCTTCCCGCTTCCTCCCCACAAGCTGTCACTGCAGCCACGCTTGGCCCAGCACAGCCCCACGGAGGTGCCACCAGGCACAGAGCCAGGTGACGCTGGGGGAGGGGCACAGAGAAGGACTCAGGGGCCAGGTGTCTCCAGGTCCCCTTGGCTGCCAGGCCGGTGGCTCCGATGGCCCCTCTTCATGAGCTTGTCCCCTCTTTCCACCCTTGTGACGTTTAGCTCGCCGTCCAGAAGTATGAGGAGCTGTTCCCTGCGTTCTCTGGCTCCCGGGAGTGCACGCTAATGAAAGTGAGTGCTGGGTGGGCTGGGGGCAGCGGGGGAGGGCAGCCGCGGGCTCCAGTCACCGTAACTGCCGAGATCTGTGCGGTGGTTCTTTTT